AAAAAAAAAAAAAAAAAAAAAGGGGGGGGGGGGGGGGGGGGGGAAGAAAAGGAAAAGTCCTGCTGAATTAAAGAGCCACACATCAATAAAGAAAAAAAGGCAGATATTGAAGCTTGCCGAAATCATATTCATGCAGCTCATATTGCCTCCGAAGCTGGCCCTGCAAGGTTCAAAATATGAGTTAAGAGAGCCTTAAATTTAAAGCATTCTGAGTATTAAAATGCTTTTTATTAATAGATTACCAACCTTGAGAGAGCTAATAACTATTGGTAGTTGGTTAAGTCCCTGTTTGTCTACCTTTAAAACATAACTCTTTATTTCTCATACTCATTTTAACCACATTAATATAATTAAATATTTTGCACGAAAACCCAAAATTTTCCTTAGTTTTTAACCACACATTCTCTAAAAAATACTCAAGACATAATTTTTTCTCAATAATGGCTATCAAATAGGGCCTACATATCAAATGGCAGCTGTTAATAAAATGGCACTATATAGCTGTGGCGATATCACCTAAGCCTAGGTGTGACTGAGTAGACAGCTGGACCATCAACCAGGTGCAGATAGATGGGGGCGTATGGCACCCAAGTTTGTAAAATTCAATGCATAATTGCAGACAAAATCTTTTAATAAAAAAATTAAAAATTTTGGGAAAACTCGAGTATAGTTCTTGTCAATCTAGTTCAAACGTAGCCCTAATCCTAGATTCGTCACTGCTATCAACTATGGTAACATAAGACCATTTTTTTTTGGGCCAAGTATTTTGCCTTAAGATAGAGATGCAATTAAATACCAGAAGTAAAAGAATTAGTAAATTTCAGTTTTTTCCATTTCAATATAGGCATTAAGGATGTAGCATAGAACCTGAAGTCATTCGCAGGCAATTTTGGTATCAAAGCTGCTGAGACAGATGGCGAATGCCTGGAAAGCAGATATTGGATACTGATAGTCCATGGTGAACACATCCTTTCCCACTTTCCCAAATTGGAGAATAACATTCTCGAGCTCTTGTCCACCGGATCCATTACTAATTGATACAACAAGCTGAAAGTTCTTCACAGAAGCAACCGTCACACGTCCATTGAAATTGAGACACCAACATTGGAGTTGCTCATGCCATCTAGGTGCCTTGTTTTTCAAAACTAGCCTTTCATCTCTTTCAGGCGACAAAGATTCAGACTGGAAACTATATGTACGAGTTGATTTTGATCTGAAAAACGGTAGGGATGGGAAGGAATCTAAGTTTCCAGTCAGAAATTCAGTTTGTGTGGGAGCCACACCTCCAGGTTCAACAGCAGAAGCAGGTATAGCATCCATGACACACTGCATCCGCCTCGGACCCCTATATCCGCAATATATACTTACATTAGCAAGAAAAAAATAGATTTCAGCTGAAGAATATAATCTCATTTGAACTGTTCATGTCCAATTCATCCTTCAGAACCGTATCACACCCCACATATTATAAAAGGCATATACTAAAAGAGCAATGCATATCACAGCAATATTTATCAATAGACAAAAAATGAGAACTGCTCAATTCTTTTTCAAAACAAAACAAGTTTAAGAATGCTAGTCATCTTTCAGTTCCTTTTATAATGTCATCTTAAGATATTTATGCCAGAGGGACTTATCTCTCACCTTGAACCCAAGACGTTCAACTCATACGAAATGTGCGCCACAGGATAGTTCCCAGCAGGGACCCTGGGAGAGACCTGTCTCATTCCAATCAACCTTGTGGAACGAGATTTAGCAACTCTGGCTCCGGCATTTGGTGGCTGTGCGTCATAAATTATGAACTTGGTTCCCAAAAAATTAGATCTGCCATTGTTAAAAATGATGAAATTTCAATCAGCAATTACATTGATGAAGAAATAATGTGTGTACAAGTCGATTTACCTCAACTTCCCAATGTATGTGCTGCTTCCCTTTGACACATTGTCAGCATTTAGAGATATTATGTAATCTGTATACGTAGGTCGTCTACATCTCCGAGCAACAAGTAGGAATTTCCCATCATCATTAGAAGCTGCCAAAAGACGAAAGGGTGCAAAATGCATATTAGGCATAAAATGGACCTTGATATTCTAATTATATACTTAAATTGTTAGATAGACAAATGGAAGTGTAAAATAAATTGAGAATGCACGGAAATATCTGCAGGCATTCACCTTGATTCAAATTGAGGTAAAGGCGATATGTTTGGTTACTACGATCCCGTTTTATGAAACACTGAACTGGGGTGTTTCTTGGACCAGGCTGCAGACATAACAATGAAAGATTTTTCAGTACGCACAAGAAAGGGACAGAAAATAAAACAACAAATGAAATGCATCAATTAGTAAAATTCTGCAGCAGAAAATAACAAGGAGAAACTCTTAATGGGACTGCCAAATCCTATTTATTTCAAGCCAATTAAACGATGTCTCATAAAGGATCAACTTAGAGAAGAATCAGTTAAGTGGTAACTAATATTTTGATTTTTTAGGAAACATGTTACAATGACAAAAGATGACCTAAAACGAATTGCCAACACAAGTTGCTCGAACTCTCTATTTTGGAGGAAGTGCCTGTGTCAATGTGAGATGACAAAGAAAAATATATGGGATGCGTCTCGGATCCTTTAAATTAAAAGAGGATGTTTAATATTGTTTTTCATATTTTGGAATTTGATTTAAAAAATTATAATTTGTATACCACATTTCTAGACATGAAATTATTTCAGTTAAATCACTTTTGTTATACACATGCACAAAGGCCATATCATGCTAGATTGCAACTATTCAAAAAGTATAGACATTCGGGAAGATAGATAAGAAACAGCATAAAACCGCATGTACCCTCCAACTTTGTACACTATCAATCTCATAATTTCCGAAGATAACACATACTAAACCACATCTATTGTTCATATGGAGTAAAAACCAAATTCTTAATACCGGCTGACCATATTTAGCTAAGTAGGATTTTTAGACAGAATAGGTTTAGCTCATCTTATTCTAGTAAAGTAGTATTCAACTTCAAATTATCGGTTGGATTTCCTTTTTTACAAGTTTAGAAAATAAAGGTGTAAATTCACGAACTCTTCTATTTCATTGCAATGCATGACAAAAGCAATATGAAAATAAATCATCCGCTGGTAAACTAGAAATCAATGTCTACATCCATACAAGTTACTAAAACTTTCCAAGTTAAGCTTCCTTATTTCTGACCCAACTTTGAAAGAACTATAAACATGTTGATACTCAACCTAGCTCGAGTTACAAATACGATTGAAACCTATTTCCTTTAATTCTCTCAACATTCAACATCACTAAGTGTAACAGAGATAAACATAGTATCACCCTCAGATATTTATAATTTCTTCAACTGACAGAACTAGCCTTGTTTATAGAAAGAAATAGACAAGGAAAAAAATTGTAGGAAAAACCATGTTGAAAACTTCGACAAACATGGTCAATCTTTAACTTACAGGAAGACAAGAAATACAAGGATGTGCATAGTGGCGATATAGTAACTAGAGATCTACACTAAATGAAGAGCATTTAAGATAAAAATGGGTGTGAATAGTAGCGATGAGATCACACAAAGAAGGACGAATTGTTAAGGAAAGATAAGAGTGTAGATATTTAATGAGATCCCCTGATTGCATTATTCTACCTCAAAATAAAAATAAAAAGGATAACATAACTCCAAGATTATAGGAAAAAGGCTTAGTTTGTCGTTTTGTTGTATTTATAAAACATTGATAAGTTTGTCTACTAAATAATTTCAACGTGCTTTTTCAGAGATCCTTAAGAAGATTGACCACAACAGATTAGATACACTTTTTGGGGGTTAAACGTTTGGGTAACCATTGAACTTTGGTACATGTCACGATTTACTCATTGTCCTTTAAAACTTATCTAATTGGCCACTCAACTTTACTCTGTCCAACTTCATTGATGGAAACCGTTAGTAAACTTGCCTAGTGGCTGACGATAATGTGATGTGACACGTTAAATGATAACTTGGGCGCCACACCAACACCAAGTAAACAGAACAAAATGTGTATTTGACTTTTGAGAAAAAAATTAACCCCAAATCATGTCTTCTTCAACCACATGAATCAATTAACCCAATAACAGAAACCCCAAATCTATTTGCTGAGCTGATTTCATTTGTTTCCAAATGCCAAGAACCATCTTTCTCATTTCTTCAAATCAAAAGCCCACAAAAAAATCAAGAAATCTGAGCAGAAGAAGAAATGGCCAATCAAGAAGTCCGATCCCCATTCTCTTCCATCATTTCATACATTTTCGTATATATTATTTATACATATGCGTGTTTATGCTTGCGTTTCTATGTATGTATGCATGCATATAAATTTAGATTTTTTTAAATGGGTTTTGTGTTTTCAAGCCGGATCTGCTTTGATTCAGGTTTGCCTAGGGCTTGGCATTGATTTTGGGGGGAATTTTATTCAATTCCAAAGAGAACAATGTTGGTATAATATTTGAGACAAAGCGTGTTTAATTTTCTCTCCAAAGTTAAAAGGCGCGCTTGTCACTACTTACTTGGCATTGACAAGACACATGAGTTACCATTTAATGTGCCACATCACATTATCGTCAGCCAAGTAGACAACTTTACTAATGATTTCCATCCTGTGACCAATAGAGTTGGATAGAGTAAAGTTAAGTGGCCAATAGGATAAGTTTTAAAGGACAGTGAGTAAGCAATGACATGTACCAAAGTTTAATGGCTACTCAAACATTTAACTTCACTTTTTTGTATAGTGTTTATAGCGAGTTTGTTGAACCCATCACATTTACACTTTTTGCATAGAATTTATAGAAAGTTTGATGCTTGAAATGATCATTGCCATCAAGCATTGAGAAACATTTAGAATATTAAGAACAATCTCACCAATATAATTATTTAAAATAACCCAATGTGAAAGACTTTCGCTAATTAATAGGGAGGAGGAGATGTATTTAACCACTTTTCATTTGTAATCATGAATGGCAAATCAGAATGGTACTTAAATGATCCTCCAATCCCACTATTAGAAAATTATCATTGCCATCAAGCATTGAGAAACATTTAGAATATTAAGAACAATCTCACCAATATAATTATTTAAAATAACCCAATGTGAAAGACTTTCGCTAATTAATAGGGAGGAGGAGATGTATTTAACCACTTTTCATTTGTAATCATGGATGGCAAATCAGAATGGTACTTAAATGATCCTCCAATCCCACTATTGGAAAATTATGGCAATGAATTCAATGAATACAAGCACATTAACCAACAAAGGAATTCACTCCTTAATTCTCGTTGACGGAATATAAATTGAATTCATGAATTATGGAATATCCCAATACAGGTAGCAAGTTCATGCGCATAAAAGCGAAATCAGGAAATAAGAATAGTCTAAAAGTACAACAAATGCTCAATGAACCGAACCTGCTTCAGGGAAATGGGGAAAGTTAGCTTGCTAGAGACCTCCAGGGTTCTGACAATTTCCTTCATGATCTCTCTCCAGCTCCTACAAACACCAGCACAGGCAACCACATTCTTTCTTGGGGGCCATGTACTCTCGGACTCCTCAATCCGAATCAACACATCCCTCAAGAGCTCCGGTGGCATATTGGCCCAACAACTCTGTTTCAAAGCATCTGTTGAAGTCATAGAACTATCCTGAACTACCCGGAGAGACCTTGACCTCAAACCATAACCAAACTTCACATCAAACCCTTTTCGAGATATGCTCCCAAACTCCCCCTTCATATCCTGAAGTATACTCTTAAATGACATAATTTACAAACACTAATATGAGCACCAAACCAGATATTTCTCTATACACAGTTGATATCAATGATTAATGGGCAAATCCGACTCGAATGGATCTCACCGAACAATATGCCCTCCACAAAATTTCTCTTAAAACTACACTTTAACACACAGCAATCAAACTGCGATACCTAGAAAAAGAAAAGGTTTAAAAAATTTCGACGAAAATCCTGCCAGTATTATGAGCTACATAGCATTAACAAATTAATCCATGTACGGCTCAAAAGAAATGTTCATAAACAGTCCCAAAACTAAAGCTCCCATCTTTGACAAAAAATCCCCCTAAATATATAAAATTATCGATCTAGAGATCAGCAAAAGTACAACAATCCCACAACGTCAAAATCATCATTCCAAAACTAACCTTCGAAGACCAAGAGGTGTACAGATCTGTACATTACTGAGAAATCTTAGAAACAGTACTTTTTGCACATTTCTTGATAAATTTAATTACTATACATGGGGAAGAAACAAGGGATTTGATATTAGGGTGAGATAAGCTCAATTGGGATTATTAGAGTTAATTCATTATGAGGGTTGTGGAAACTCTAGAGAGAGTAAAGGCGAATGTTATGGGAATTGGGTCCGGCGCGAACTTTATCTGCGTTGATTTGCGACTTGGGTTTGTCCGCTAACACGTAATATTGTTGAACTCGTCATGTCAATGTTTTATCGGGTTGGATTACAGTGGATCCTATATCAAATTCCGGATCCAGAGTTTGTAAATTGGGTAATTGGCACAAAACGTCCATACTTTTCAAGTCTATTGTGAAAAACGTCACTACCTTTCATTTTTTGACATTTTTGCCCTCATTTCAACCTTTCTTTGCGCTGGACGTCCTTCCGTCCATATTCCGTCAGTTTTTCCGTTAATTAAAGGGTAATTGGCACAAAACGTCCCTACCTTTCAAGTCTATTGTGGAAAACGTCCCTACCTTTCATTTTTTGGCATTTTTGCCCTCATTTCAACCTTTTTTTGTGCTGGACGTCCTTCCGTCCATATTCCGTCAGTTTTTCCGTTAATTAAATACAAAAATACCTTTTTCTTTCCATAAACAAGGGTAAAATTGTCCTCACCCACTTCACCCCTTTTTCCCGCCATCAACTTGGTCCGTAAGTAAGAGTAGCAGCAACATGAATCTGAAAATACTTTAAATGATTAAGTTAAATAAAGAAAAAATATTGTGAACACATTATATTTCACAATTCCACAACTACTATTGCTGTCATCTTGTGTCACTGGAAAAATTTAGAAAGACATATTAAATGGGTAGTCAATTTATAATGAGCAAAAATGGTGAATGGCTCTTTTTGGCTCAATGGAGAAGATGAATGGCTCATTTTAAATTGACTCATTATAAATTGACTACCCACTTAATATGTCTTTCTAAATTTTTCCAGTGACACAAGATGACAGCAACAGTAGTTGTGGAATTGTGAAATATAATGTGTTCATGATATTTTTTCTTTATTTAACTTAATCATTTAAAGTATTTTCAGATTCATGTTGCTGCTACTGTTACTTACGGACTAAGTTGATGGCGGGAAAAAGCGGTGAAGTGGATGAGGACAATTTTACCCTTGTTTATGGAAAGAAAAAGGTATTTTTGTATTTAATTAACGAAAAAACTGACGGAATATGGACGGAAGGACGTCCAGCGCAAAGAAAGGTTGAAATAAAGGCAAAAATGCCAAAAAATGAAAGGTAAGGACGTTTTCCACAATAGACTTGAAAGGTAGGGACGTTTTGGGCCAATTACCCTTTAATTAACGGAAAAACTGACAGAATATGGACGGAAGGACGTCCAGCGCAAAGAAAGGTTGAAATGAGGGCAAAAATGCCAAAAAATGAAAGGTAGGGACGTTTTGTGCCAATTATCCTTTGTAAATTGTATATCGTAATTAGCCCTGTCTGACACACACCCCCCGGCCCTTTTTTGTTTCGAAGAATGAGTGTTTGAATAGTAAGTCCTTGTTCAAGTCCCATTTTTTCATCGAAATATGTTTTTCAATAGTGATTCGACACCATTTCAATCACACATTTTTTAATAAAATAATACTACACGCAAATATAAAACTTTTCTTTATTTTCTAATCACACATTCTCCATCACAACACTATTTCAAAATACTTTTTTTTTTTTTGGAAAAATGTGGCTCAAACAACCCCCAAATTTTTGAAAAATGTATTATTAAAAAGTAAAAAAGTTTAAATTTATGTAAAAAAATATTTTATTATAAAAATGTATGATTGAAAATGAATATAAATAAGAAAAAGTTTTAAAAGAATGATTGTCAAATTCGAGCTTAGATGTAATATAATGATATATATAATATATTAGTCATGTTACGTGACAGCTCATCGTTATTAAAATTGCCCCAACCCAGTCAAATCGTCCCGAAACCTATCAAACTAGATAGAGTGCCTGGCTAATTTGTACATTTTGACCAAAGAATCATATGAACCAATCAAGAACCAATAAAATCGACGAGTTTTTAAATAATAAATTTTTGAAGAACGTGTGATTGAAAAGTAGAAAAAATTTGAATATAAAACGCTGATTTTAAGAATGAGTGATTACCCTTCTTCAACCCTTACTGCCCAACTTGAGAACAAACAGCTAATGTGTTTCACTTATTGAATAGTCACAATGAGATGGAAGGACTTCTATTGGAATTCACATATAGTGTTAGAGAAAATGAAATATATCTTTAGTTCTTTTGCGCGAAGAATATTTTATTATAAAAATATGTGGTTAAAAATGAGTATGAGAAGTAAAAAGTTTTAAAAGAATGATTGTCAAATGTAAGCTTAATTGTAAAATAATGGTATTTATATTATAGTAGTCATCGTATGTGGCAGCTCATAGTTATTAAAATCGATTCGATCAGATCGAATCGACCCGAATTCGAGCCGATTTGTATATTTTGATGGGAAAGCAAATGAACCGATCAGAACCAATAAAAATCGTTCAACCTGACCCATTTTTAATAAAATTTAGGAATTAGCCCGACCCACATCACAACAATGTATACCAAAATCTAGATTTGAACTTGAAGAAACCATATAATACACCCTAATGCTAGCCACTGCCATTTTTACTTTTGTTTATATAATTGGTCACAAAACACACACACACACACACTACACTATATATATTCACTATTTTAAAAAAAAAAAAAAAAAAAAAAGAGCAACAAAAAATTATAAAATTCACTTAAATTTATAAGTATATAATAAGTATTCACTATTTCAAAGAAGAGAGACTAAAAATATAAAATTCACTTAAATTTTATTTTTTGTTTGGGTGTATGAACCAACAATAACCCACTGGTTGAATTATTGATTTTCGGTTGAACTAGTGACTCGATAACCCGATAGATTATCCGGATCAATGATTGAATCGAGTCTGATAACTATGTGGTAGATCGTTAATTCCATTGTTTCAAATAACGAGAAATAATGCTATTTATAATCGGCGACTGCAATAGTTATTCTATGCTAATTTTTTTTTTTTTTTTTGTCTAGTATGCAAGTGTGAGTAATATAATAAGGATGTGTTCGACTGGCATAAAAAATGTCTCATAGAAAAGAAAAATTTTCCTTGTTTTGAGAAAAAAAAAAAACCTACTCACCTCCCAAAAAATATGTTTTCCTCAAAATAAAGGAAAAATGGGCATATTTTTAATGGTTGAAAAATATTTACACAAAAAAAAATGGCAATCGAACATCCCCAAAAAGTTAAAATTTGGGTGAAAAAGGTCATTTTCCATAAAAAAAAAAAAATTCAATCAAACACACCCTAAATGATAACTCGCCATAAATTAAAATGGTTAGCGCATTTCCAATGGCGATATAAAATTGGGTGTGAATTGATATCTTCGAAATCATTTTTGAATCCTCATTTACATCCTGATAGATCTAAATTCAAATTTTGCTCCAATGAAAATATCCAAATTCACTTTTTACTTCTTGTGAATGTTAAAAAAATATGTAAATTTATATCATTTTTTTATATTTTATTGTCGAAAACTACAATTTGCAAATTCCTTTGCATTTCTAAATTGGAGAGGTTATCAACCAGTTTGAAGATCTAAGTCATACTTTATTAGGGTAGTTTGAGAGTGGGTTAAAAACATTGACAGTTAAGTAAGGATAGCAGAGGCTCAATCAATTTAGGGGTTTAGATAACTTTTTGGAAGTAGTGTTTTAAAAAATAATACTAAAGAATTAAATAAAGCAATCGATCATCGATAAAACTATGTCAATTATTGTTGATTGTATTACTGTAGATGATATGGCGAATATCAATATCGTCTATGATTTTGGATAAAATTACCAAATTGATATCATTAGTCAACGATATCAATAACGATATCATTAGATGATTTACGAGATTATTGAAATATCAAATACTGTTTCTTTGTCATCTAGTCACGCTCACTATTTTCTCTAACTTGTTATATGCTAACGGTGCAAATCTTAACAATGAGTTATCCAGATATTTCATTGTGAATGTTCGCGTAGCACTTATCCACCAAATGAAATACATGGTTTTATATATTCAATCTTGGTAGAGGTGAAATGAATCACAATTATCCAATAACATCAAAGTATATGTTTAGTTTAGATGGATTTTATCGTATGAATGATCTGTTGTAACTTAAAATTAAATTTTAACCTTTCAACATTTAACCTGTTTAATTTTCTATTTTTATTTATTTAATAATCACTTTTAACACAATTAAAACATCGTAATTCTTGTTATAACCTCTATTTTAATGACTTAATTGTGGGGTTAATTTTCATATATAAAAGGTGGTTACATCTAATTGAAAATGAGTATTGGAATTACAACTCGGAAGATAAACACTCTACACGACTCTTACTATATTTCTATATTTTGGCAACTCAATAAGAGGCTCGTTCACTTATCTCCCTATGATCATGCCCATAGAAAGAGAGTCATATGAATTTTATCTTGGAGTCGTGTAGTGTCGAAAGAACTCGTACGAAGGGAAGGCGACGCGACTTTAGGATAGTGTCTTCGACGCGACTCCCAAGGCTTGTTTTCTAAATCTCTTCTCTATTTTTTGTTATATTATTCTCGAATCATATTTGTTATGATATATAAATTGATTATGTTAATTGATAAAAAAAAGTCTACACACAAATAACCAATTTTTCCAACAATCTAAAGTCGTGTTGGGTGATTTGTGCATGGTAGTGTATGATCTTCAAAGTGCAAACTAGCTATGCTTAGATGGTTTGTTTTGTTTCAACTGAAAGTAATCTTGCAGTGATACATCAAGCAAATGAACTCCTGATAGAAATATTCCTAATCGTAAGGTTAATTATATACTTCACTATTGGAATTTTGCATGTAAAATTCGTTTACATAATTATTTAAGTAAAATTCTTAATTTGGTGAATGAGAAATTAAGCCAAATATAAAGTTGCTTAATACTTGAAATTATTGAAAAATCGTATAGAATATTGTGGAATATTGTAGAAATATGTGGATGGAAAGTGTGTCTTTTCATGTGAAATATCATGACTCTTGGTATGAGTATGATTAATTTCTAATAATTGTGTCTTTTAATGTATAGAAATAAATTCCAAGAG